CGAACTGCGCATACGCGTTTCAAAAGCGGTTGCCACTTTTAGCAAGCTAGAAAAAGGTGTGTGGTACAACCACCAGCGTAACGTTGGGACGAAGCTGATTGTTTACAAGTCTGTGGTGCTGCCCATAGTGCCAAACAGCAGCGAAATCTGGGCGCTTTATCGGAAGGATGTTCGTTATCTGAGCTCTTCCATCAAGTGTCTGCGTCGTATTATGCGCATCGGCTGGGGTGACCAAGTTGCAGACACGGTACTCCGACGCAGTGGCATGTATGCGGTGGACTGCATACTACTGCTGAGACAAGTGAGGTGGCTAGGTCACGTTTGCCGCATTGATTCGACCTGAATAACGAAACAGATGCTTTATGTCCAACTGAGTGCAAGGAAGCGGCAAGTGAGAAAACCATAGTTACGCTACCAGAACATGACCAAGGGGAGTTTACACGAACTAATGTTGATTTCAGGTGTTGGGAAGCGATAACAGTGGATAGGCGCAGATGGCGGTTATCCAGTTGCATGATAAATCAATACTGCATGTGAAAATGATGTCTGTTGAGGAAGCGACAGGCGCCGATGGTGGATAGCCCATCGACGTCCAGCGCAATGTGTTGTGGCACATGCGATCGCGAGTGCCTGGGCCAAGCTCGCTTAGTATGCCAAAAGCGAGTTAGCCAAATATCATCATCATCATCATCAGTGCAGCGCTTGGTAAGTTCGCCACTTCCGATATAATGTACTAATGTATGTCAATAAGTCGGTTGCTGTGGTACGTGTTTGACATCCTCGTTGTACTTGGTCTGTACGTGTGCATGCGCGTTGAGTTACTTGCAGTGCAGGTGTTGGCTTCTGATTGATATCCCCGGCGTGATTTCCCTTGATGTGAAGGTTGATGAGGTGCCTACCTGTCTATTACCTCCAGCTCGTCACATAGCAACTCCATGTGACTGAAACGTTGCTGGGGGGACGGCGTGCACGGTTCCCTTGACCTTGCTAGCCTCAGCGTGTGGTTCCATGCACCCAGTGTGGAAAAGACTATGGTCAAGCCAGCGCCTTGTGTGTGTCTGGTACGCATGATTCCGTCAGTAGACCGACTGGATGTTACTATTGTGCATATTGAAGTGTGAGTTGGCTCCGTTTGTGAAAAGTTGCTCCTATCCACATACCTCCCGGTCTTATTACTTCTAGTTTGTACTTGATAAGCGGTGTGTGGATGGAGCTGTGGGTGGTGCGGCGAAGCCATCCATAGTCCATCTGTAAGCTAAAGCGTCTTGCGGCTGTCCCCGCAGGACATCAACTATACATCACTCCATAGGAATAGACATCAAGCTATTCAATACCATGGAGGTTATCAAAGAATAGTTAAGTGTACAACATTTGGAAAAGGCATCAGCAGTACGCCGGTAAGCAGTAGCGATGCTTCACTGCCGCGCAACCACTACCGGGCGCACATGGGCTAAGGATACTGCGACGGTCGTGCTGCCCCTACGCAGGCTCGAATCTGTGTCATTAGCTAAGAAAAAAGCTTGTACGTTCAGGCTACGGGCCGATAATAAGTAGGGCAAAAAAGTTCAATATTTTTGTTTTTTATCACGTCATTCTGCAGCATTTTAAGTTGAATCTTCGGATTGAGAATTGACGTAAAGATGTGTGCATTGTCCCCGTTTCAACCGGTCTTGCGCCGTTGCCTCGAGTGTTGTGAGCCACTGGTATCCTTCATCATCGGGTCCTCAATCGGGTATGCGTACTACGCCGTCGATGGCTAGACAAGACGTCAGTGTCTTTATGCTTTCAAGCCAAATGATTGGCTGACCAGTACGCGGCCTCTTTTAATGCGGTCCTGTAAGCGCAAACAGAGCGCCGCGTGGTGAGCACACATTAGGCATGCGTAGGATGTGGCCAACCCACCACAATTGACAGAACAAGCTCACATAGAGACTCATCTTGCCGAAGACGCGGAGTTTGATATCATCATTGCGCACTGAATGTCGTGATTATACAGGGGAGATCCTCCGAAAACTTACGCATGTTACCTATACAGACCGGCCAGCATTCGTATCCATCAAACAACCCCGCGTGGACACTGGTCTTGTAAACTCTGCCCTTTAACGAAAACGAGGTGTCGCGACGGCAACACAAATGCGTCAAGTTTACAAAAGCTAACCGCGAAGTAAAACGAAGAGATACCTCTGCAATAGTGTCATCAGCAGAAATGCAGCTCGCTAGGTAGACAAAACTGTCCACATGTTCGAGCTGTATGCCGTCGATGGTGAGCTGAGGCAGGGGCGATTACCAATACTGTAATAGCCCATTACACTTAGAGGAGAAAAAGCACATGCTATACCTAGACGCTTCGAAAACCGGTGGGTTAATGACCACTTGCATAAAAGGGGGGCCGTCACCGAACAAGGCGATGTCATCAGCGTAATCTAAGTCGGTTGCCCAATCACTTGAAAGGAGTTCGATGCCAAAATTCTGCAACCCTTCTATGACTTCGGACAGGACGTCTTCCATCGCAAAGTTAAAGATAAACGGAGACATAGCGCACCCCTTGTCGTACACCAGTGGAGACGGAAGAGGGCAGAAAGTTTGCCGTAGGCTCTTACTTTGCCTGAAATATGGGGGTATAGTGCCCGAAGTATAGCGACGTAGTTTTCGAGAACTTCATTCTTTGACAGACAACGCCATAAAGCAGGTCGGCACATTGAGTTGAATGCAGCCCGAATATTCAGGAAGGCGACGACGGTGGGTATGCGGTAGAGATGACGTTGCCCGAGGAGCTGGTGAGGTGTGAATAATTGATCCACACATCTCCGACCGGGGCGAAAATCAGCCTGCTGTTCCCGGTAGTTTCACTCATTTGAGTTAGCCTGCGGAGCATGATGGATGCTAGTATGTTGGATGCAAACGACATCAGACTGATCCCTCTGTGATTGGACATGAAGTACGAGAACCTTCCTTGAAGATTGGGACTATAACTGACTCTCCTCAAGAAGAAGGTACTTTTTCCTTGTAAAATCTTTAGGAATAGAGATGTTGTCTGATTGACAACTGCCATGCCACCGTACTTAAACAATCCTGGGAGTTCGTCTGAGTCCGCAGCCTTAAAGCGCTTTAAGTATCGAATCTCAAGAGAAACCTCCGATTTAATGGGTGCTTCTAGTGATTGCCCATGGCATGCGACCGGGTGTGCTAGGTGCAAGGGCAGAAGGCGAGGAGCAACAGCACTGAGATTAGAAATCCTCTTGTGTACTGCCGCGCCATTTAAAACTGATTGCAATGTGGTCTAGTTGAGAATAAGGCTGCGGTGGTGGAGGACGCCAGGTGGCAGAACGTCTCCTGGAGTGCCTGAGTTTGTGAAAACAGACCGTTAACTTCTCTCAAAGTAAGTAGCCTGGTTCCGTTATCCGAGCCATTTTTATGCATTGCGTGATGACCAGCCGGATAAAATTTATCTGAAGACAGGCGACCAACTCATGCGTTGAAGTCTCCTGCAGGGACAACAAGGTCCGATTTGGCGGTTTTATGGGGCCAGTTTCAAAAAGCGCCCTTAATTAGTTCACAGCTACAATCGGTTAACACATAAACAGGGACCACAAACAGGCTGCGCCCTTTAGCACGATGCAAGTTTACCGTGCATGGGCCTTGAAGTTAAACTGCACATAGTCGGCTGTGGACCAGAAACCAGTCCAAAAGTGTGGCCTCGGGTTTACTGCCTAATGCCACTCATCGCCAACCAAACGAGATGCATGGGGTTCCGCGTTGCCAGAGAAACGCAAGTTCCAAGTGGCTTCCAGGTTCGTCGGTGATGTCAATTTGAGTACTGATCAGCCAGAAATCGTCCAAAAATGCATGCACCTAGGCAGCTATATTAGGAACTATGGAATAGAATATAAAAACGCGAACCGCATAGCGAAAGCTCGAGATGCTTTTGCCAGCCTTCGCCACCTGGGTCTCAAGTGCGATGTAACTTACCCTGAAATAGTTTACAATATAGTGGTGTGTTCCACCCACTCGTACGACTGTGAAACTTAGTCCATCATATTGATAGACATAAAAACCCTAGTTACGCTAGACCATCGCTGATTTTGCAGTTTAACACGAATGTGTTCGGCGCCTTGGGCACGAGAAGAGGCGGTGAACCAATCAGCAATGATATATCGCGTACGAGGCTCAAGTGGCTTGGTTACGTGTCACACATGCCAGCCCACCGACTACCATGACGCGCGTTGTTTGTGTGACCGGTGTATGGATGGAAGAAAAGTAGGGGAGGCCAATCGATGACTTGATGAAGATGAACGAAGGCCGTTACTTCTAACAGCTTCGATTGGGCCTCCCTATCGCCGGGCTGAGGTCCTAGTAAATATAAACACGATTGGTTGGACACATTTGTTGGCATGACCAGGAGCCAAAAATGAGGTCCGTGTTGTTAGTCTCATTGTTCCTCTACCTTCCATTTAGCTTCGCTTCGATCACAAGTTCCCATTCGATGCATAATGCGATACAGCATAACATTACTTATCGTTTGGTTTCGTAATCTGTAGTGTTTGATACCACGTTTTTTCATGAGTTAGATAGTTGTATTGCAGCACAATATCTGTGCTGTTCGCATCCTCTACTAACGTGTAATAATGATGATGGAAAGAAAACTGCAGATTCCGAAAGTAGCCATATACATTCTGATCCGCTTGGTATCGATAACGGTATCTAGAAAACGTCACAAAATTATACGTCAAACAAGCAGGCCTAGTATTGAGAATGGAGCAAAGTGATCATGGTTACACGAGTGAGTTGCATAGTAAGTTTTGAAACTGAGATTGTCGAAAAAGAATTAAATCGCACACATTGGTGAAATAAAGCGAACTGTGCAATAAACGTAAAAATCAAAACAACTCAAATAGCAGTTGAGATTTATGAGATGGATATGTTTAACAGATTCCAAAAAATCGGATTAAACAAGCGGAAAAGCAGAGGAATAAGCGAGAGTGTGAATGAGTAAATGGGCATCAGAGTAGGCTTACGAGGTCATGCTGTAGCTTTCGGTATCTTTCCGCCTCATCGATTTCGAATTTAGCCTCCTTCCTTTCAGCAACGATATTCTTCTTTTTGTTTAAATTAAAGGTAGTATTTTCCTCGAGCTTATGCATCTCCAGCTTCGCATTATCGTACTCTTCTTTCAGTTCGGCAGACCTAAAAGGTGAAAAGCAGTCAGCAAGACAAACTTGCTGATTTCTTCGAACATTTGGCAACGTTCTCTGGCATTCTTCATCGCGATGCTTTCCACAGCGCCTTGGAACACGAGGAAATTTTTCACTTTCATGAAAATATGAATTTTGTCTAAAGCGGCGGCGTATTCATCAACTCTGACACTCTAAAAGATATTAATGGTAGAACGGAAGCAAACCTCCCCATTAATTCGATACTCAGAAGTATTACCATGAATCACACGACTATATCTCACTTCTTCCCCGTCAGGCATTTCATAAACGGCGGTAACAGAAGCGGACTTCGAGACTGGTTTACCTACAACTGAGCCATGTATAAGATCCTGAAAATGTCGTCATCGTGGTAACCTACGTTCAGCCGACGGACACGAAGATGTCTAGTGTTCTCACCCAAGACAAAGCTTATAGCATCCATAAGGTTAGATTTTCCTGCAAGTATATAGCTACCAACTCGGCAACGTACCTGACCCATTAGGGCCAATGATAGCTGTAAACGTACTAAAAGGACCAATGACTTGCTTTCCTTTGTATGACTTGTAATTTTCTAACTCTATGTACTTCAGTCGCCCGCACGACTCGGCCATTCTTGAAAAGAGTGGTATGCGTCCGGTGGAGGGTGATAGATACTTCCGTATCCGTCACCAGGTATAAGTCCCAATAGGCCGGAAGATCTGCAATGGAAAGCAAAGAGGGAGAGAGAGAGAGAGTGGCCGGAAGTCAAAACCCAACCACCTAGTAGGAACTAATATCGACAAACAATGTATAGAGAGTTTGCTGGCAAGCAGACACCGAAAAGTGGCTGAACAGTTGAGCAACCAAGCGCAGCAGCACCCGTCCGCATCCAAGATCACGACGACAGGAAAGGCGCCGAGGTTCCGGGGGTGGTTAAAATAACATGGTGCGCATCGTTACATTGCTCCCCCTTTGAACAGGCGCTGTCCTCAGCGCCCACGTTTCTAGTAAAGTGTACTACGGTCGACGAACTTGGTATTCTTAGTCGCATGATTTTATATGTCAAGTCGGATAGCATATCCCCTACCACATACGGACCTTCCTAGTTTTGGCGGAACGTCGTGGGTAGGCCCGATGAAGTCTGCACTGCTATGAGCCACACTGCATCGCGCGTCTTGAAGGGGTTACCGAAGGAAAACAAAGTTGGACTTGGAGAATTCGCTGTGTGGCTGGGTTGCTACAAGCAATCTTCGGGTTACCGAAGGTTTTGAGACCGAAATATGCCTTCTGGTGACGTTGGGAATTTTGGAGAAGTGCTTGGGCGAACTGGTGAGCTCGGAATAGGGTGACCTGCATCGTGAGTACATGTTCAGATGCTGTTATCTGTTCGTGGTAGGTCGTCGGCAGTAAAATGTCTGATGGTAATCGTAGCTCGAGTCCCGTCATCATGAGGTGTGGGGTTTGTCCTGTGGTGAAGACAGTGGTTCGATAAGCCAATAGGCATTTCGGTAGATTAATATCCCACTCTTTTGTCGTTTCTTCGTGTATGAATGATTGAAATAGCGATTTCAGTATGCGGTTTGTGCGTTCCATCAATCCGTCTCCCTCTGGGTGGCATGCAGTTGTCCGTGTTTTCCGGATTATAAAAATGTGACATAACTAGCTTCTCAGGATGCTCTCGAAGTTAGATCCGCAATCGGAATGTAAGTGGTAGAGTGTGCCCGCCTTGCCACCCACCCACAGAAGGAAGTCATCGCCACGTTCCATGCGTCCATGTTCTGGAGTGGAGCTGCCTCACACGAATTTGTAAAATAGTCGACCAAGATTAAAACGTAACGGTGTACTCGAGAGGTGTCCGGTAACGGGCCGATGATGTCGATACCGACGAGCTCATTGGGAAAACCAGCTGACATCGATAGTAGTAGTGCGCGGCGGGTCGTTGGCGGGTTTTGGCCTCAGGCGCCGTTTGGGCAGTAGTTCGCCGCGTCACGTCGTAAATGGGGCTACCATAATCGACGGCGAAGTGCTTATTCCAACTTGTCCTATTCTGCATGCCCCAACTATTAATTCAATCGGAGCATAAATTCTTGTTGTCGTCGTGGGAATAATGACTGTGTAAATAGGTTGGCCCATTCTGGAAATATATTATACCGTCGATCACGCGCAGATGTGGCCATAGGGAGCACAAACATTTCGTCTCCCAACTAGCGAGTTCGTGGCCAGTTGGTCGGACTTCCCAACGTGAGAGTCGGTGGCACAACGGGCTCAACGCTGGGTGGGTAGACTGCAACTGAAGCCATGCTTCGGCTTCGGAGTTATCGAGGATAACAGCAGCTAACAAGTGGCTGGTCTATGGTCTCGGATTGGTCTGCGAGACAGCGCATCAGCATTAGCATGTTTCGCACCTGGGCGATGTTGACATTCAAATTCGTACTCTACCAGTTGCCTCTGCTAAAGGGCAAACTGATCTTTTGGATCTCGAAAGTTTTTGGAGCCAAAGCAATGACTGATGGTAAGTGCGTACGATAAATTTGCGACCGAGGATAAAGTGTCTAAATTGTTTGATAAAGAAGATTAATGCACACATTTCTTTTAGTGTCATGCAATATTTGCCTTCCCTTGCAATAACCTTCGGTTGGCGTATGCCATAACCGGTTCAATGCCGTTCGCTATGCTTTGTGATAATAGGGATCCGATACCCGTGTCGCTGGCATCAGTATCCAGGATGAATGCGCCCGCAGTTGGATGTGTATCCGGAAATTTTAACAATTGTGCCTCGCACGACGCGGTTTTAAGGCACTCGAAAACGATTTGCTGGACTTTTTCCTAGGCAAAAGTTGTTCTGGCCTTCAAGTGGTTTGTCAAAGGAACAGTGCTCGTTGCAAAACCCCGTACAAAACGTCGATAGTAAGAAACGAGACCAAGAAAAGTGCGCAACTCGTGCATATTTGCTGGAACTGGCCATGGGCGTACCAGCTCGACCTTCGCAGGATCGCAGCATACCGTCTTCAGACACGACATGACGTAAGTAGATCACCTGCTTCTTAAGGAACTGGCATTCAGTAGGTTTCAATTTCAACCCCAGTTGTACTAGCCGGTCTAAAATAATAGTGAGACTGGTTGTGATCCTCCACCGGTTTTTCGTGCGCTATGATATCAACAAGGTACACTAAACAGTGGTTCGGTATCAAATCTGTCAATGCTGTATGTATAAGCCGCGGAAAAGTGGCGAAGGGCATTTGTCGAGCCAAAGGGTATCGTTTGGAAGTCATAAAAGCCGGATGGAACGATAAATGCCGACTTGAACCTGTCGTCCGGGTGGAGCTCAACTTGCCGATAGCCGAACGCCAGGTCCAATGGTGTAAACCAGGGGGATCCAGTGAGCGCGTACATGGTATCATCCATTCCTGGTAACGGAAATGAACCCCTCCGCGCAACTGCATTTAGTCTGCAATAATCGGCACTGCCGCAGTTCATCGCTTCTCATGTTGTCCCGGACAATTGGGGCGCCCAGGGTGATTTGGACGGTCTAAAAATATCACGTTTAAGCATATCTTCAATTATTCCTGAAATTGGATGGGGGGGTACACGCCGTGGCGGTTGCCGGATTGGTTAGTAGTGCGTTGTCAGTTTCAATATGGTGCTGTATAAAGTTGTATTATCCAAATTCATCGTCAGCCCACGAGATTGTGTGCTGTTGTCTGATTAAAATGTTTTTCACTGCGTTAATAGTAAGATCCGGCAGTTCCTCTGGGATGCTACGAAATGGCATTTGCAGTGGAACTTCATCCAAGGTAAAGGACAGCATCAGTTAATCGGTGGGTGCGAATGGGATCGCCCGCGCCTTAAGTACTAGAGCATTCTTAGTCAGATCAATCTTGGCGCCTAATGGAGAAAGTAAATCAACGCTTAATACCGCATTCCATTGCAAAACGACCATTACAAGAAAACGATGACAAAAAAGTTACTGCCAAATTGTGCTCCAACCAGAAGCTTTAAAGGTAGAGGCGTTGGCAGCCACCAAGTTGAATGACCTACCCTGATAGACAATGGCATTAAGCGGTAACAAGCGACTAGGAACAAAGGAGCAAGCAGCCCCGGTGTCTGCTAAAATTTTGATCACGCTACCACACATACATCCAACTACGATGGGCGTAGCTAGAGAGTAGGATTTAGCAATGACCGATAGTTGAAACGAATATGTTTTGGATTTCATCATCAACATCAGCCATCTGAACTGACAACTCGCTGCCCTACAACCATAACGACCTATGGAATCAAGGATAACAAGGGGGAGAGAATGCGGACTTACCTGAAAACCTTAACGCACAAAGTAAACATTCAGGGTCAAGGCGCCTACACCTTGCCGACAACATACCGTCACAAACAGATGGCTATCGTGCAAAGATAAGGCGGCCTCGGCAAGACAGTTTCCTTGCGGCTATTACTGCCCCGCGTCACAATCAGCCATTACACCGCAGATAACTCAGCAACAAACACACGTTAAACAGGCAGTCCGACCACGAGACAGCAGCAGACGTGCCAATGGTGTAGACTGCGAGCTATGTCATGTAAAGTCTCGAGCCAAGCACAAGGCGAGTCACGTGGATTCCAGCCCGGGAGACGAGATGGACCAACTGCACTCAGTTTGGTAGTCAGTGATTTCATTTCACGCCGCCAAGTCACCTTTTGTCCACCACGAGTCTTGCGTCACCCTACACCTAACAGACTAAACAAGGCCATCCGAGGAAAGCGGTGACCATGGATACGTAGTACGTGCTCAAGCCAACGCAACTTATCCATAGCTAATGTTATTCTAAGGAACTAGACTGGTTATCACTGCCTAGTACTCGCCTACGCACATCATCGTTGAGGACACGCGGGTGCCATCCGACAACAGCAATGCCACGCAGACAACGGTGGTCAAAGAATTGAAGGTGTCTCAGATCATCAGACCGAAGGGGCCAAGTTTCACTCCCATAGACCAGGACGGCCTTTACTGTGGCCTTGTACATACGGCCTTTCAGATGGAGGGAAACTCCCTTCTGTCGTCAGATGGCGAGGGTTCAAGAATGCAGTTTTTGAATTTGCAATGCGTGAACAGAAGTAAGTTTCTACGAGTCCATCGTTGTTGACGCAGCTACCAAAACAATTGAATCGATCGACCATTTCGAATTCTTCGTTATCAAGAGCTAAGGGGTCATCAAGAAGCCGCTGGTCCTGTAGCAACACTTTGCACTTTGAAGGTACGAAGCGCGTACCAAATAATGGGACCACTCTGGATAGCCTATTCAGTGTTGATTGTGCCGCCGCAACGTCGTCACAAAGCATAATAAAGATCAACTAATCTTTCAACATGCAGCGTTTCAACGCCTACATCGTGAGCTTCTGCAAAAAAACACTCTATGGTGGCATCCACGACGAAAGTAAACTAAAACGGAGAAATCGGATAAACCTGATGAA